GGGCGAGCGAGGAACTCGGCGCCGAGATTCGACGTCATGACCACGATGCAGTTGCGTGCATCGACAACACGTCCTTGGCCATCCGTGATGCGGCCGTCGTCCATGAGCTGAAGCAAGACAGTCAAAACCTCCTTTGCCGCCTTCTCGACCTCGTCGAAGAGGAGGATGGAAAACGGCTTGCGACGAAGAGCCTCGGTCAGCTGGCCGCCAGCGTCGTGTCCGACATAGCCGGGGGGAGCGCCGATCATGCGGCTAAGAGAGTGTCGCTCTTGATATTCCGACATATCGAAGCGGATCATCGCCTTCGGGTCGTCGAAGAGGAATTCGGCCAAGGCCTTGGTGAGCAGTGTCTTTCCTGTTCCCGACGGGCCGCAGAAGAGGAAACTCGGCGGCTGGTTCGGGTTGCTGAGGCCGGAACGTTGTAGTCTGATGGCGTTTGAGACGGACTGCACAGCCTCCTTCTGGCCTACGACAATGCTGCCGAGAGCCTTCTCCATGTGCAGAAGCTTGTCCTTCTCCGACGTCTTGAGGCGCGTTACCGGAATGCCGGTCCAGCGGGCGACGATCTCGTTGATCTGATCAGGTCCAACCACGTCGGTAATCATAGCACCGCCCGTATCGCTGGCGTCTGCGTTCAAAGAGGCGTCGGCGGCAGCCTTATCCTTCTCGAGCTTCTTGATGACTGCCTCCTGCTCGGGAATAGCGTAGTATTGAAGATCTGCGGCCCGGCTGTGGTCTCCCATTCTGCTGGCGTCCTCGGCCTTCACTCTGAGGTTCTCCAGCTTCAGCTTGGCCTCCTGGATATCCTTGCCTCGCTTCCGCTCCGTCTCATACTTCTCACGAAGTGGTCTCAACTCTTCCTCTACGTTCTGGGCGTCTTGCTTAGCGGCGGCAAGCCGTGTCTTGGAAGCGTCGTCCTTCTCGCGAGACAAGGCGTGGATCTCGATCTTGAGTTGCCGCAGTCTGCGCTCCAGAGAGTCGATGATTTCTGGCTGGGACTCACGGGCAACCCGAACTGCAGCCGCGGCCTCATCGATCAGGTCGACGGCCGAGTCTGGAAGTCTCCGAGATGTCAAGTATCTGGCAGCGAGATTCGCAGCTGCCACAATTGCGCTGTCTGCAATGTTGACTCCGTGGTGGACCTCGTACTTCTCCTTGAGACCGCGCAGGATCGAAACGGTCTCCGGGATCGAGGGCTCCTTGACGAGAACCTGCTGGAAACGGCGCTCGAAAGCTGCGTCCTTCTCGATGTACTTGCGGTATTCGGCTAGTGTGGTGGCTCCGATGCAGTGAAGCTGTCCTCTTGCGAGCATGGGCTTCAGCAAGTTTGCTGCATCCATGCCGCCCTCTCCGGATGAGCCGGCGCCCATCAACAGGTGGATTTCGTCGACGAAGAGGACAATCATCTCCTTAGATTCCTGTATCTCCTTGAGAACTCCCTTCATCCGCTCTTCGAATTCTCCTCTGTACTTGCTGCCGGCCACCAAGGCGCCCACATCAAGTGAGAGGAGCTTGCAGGCCGCCAGGTTGTCGGGAACATCGGCATTGACGATCCGCTGAGCGAGACCTTCGACGACTGTCGTCTTGCCCACACCGGGCTCGCCGATGAGGACGGGGTTGTTCTTTGTGCGACGGGAAAGGATGCGGATAACTCGTCGGATCTCTTCCTCACGGCCAATGACAGGGTCGATCTTGCCCTCTCTTGCCATGGCGGTCATGTCGATGGTGAATTTGGCCAGATTCTCGTTTTCCTGCTCGGTGTCGGCATTGCGCGAGTCGACACGCTTCGTTCCGCGGATGGCCTGCACGGCATCAAGCACCAACTTCGGCTTCGGGATGTTGGAGTCCTTGAGGGCAGTCTGGATGGATGTCTCATCCGCCAGGGCTGATATGAGGTGGTCGACCGCGATGAATGTGTCCTTCTGGGTCTTCTGAAGCTCCATAGCCTTGCGGAGCACGTTGTTGAATGAAGGGGCCATGGAAACCTGCTCTGGCGGCGGATCTTGGCTGGGCAGGCGGACGAGGGTCTTCTTGAGGGCTCTGTCAAACAGTTGCGGGTCGCCATGGGCTCGCTCGATGACTTGGCGCAAGAGGCTGCTGTTCGTCCCTGGCGGCGCATTTTGCTGGTCTTTGCTCTGGTCTGGGAGGGGATCGAGAAGGGCTACTGCCAGGTGGACTGGCATCAGCTGTGGGTGGGCGTACTGCTCGGCCAGGGCCATGGCGTCCTCCAGCGCCTTTTTGGCCCGGTCGGTAAACTCCATCTTTGAGTTCATGCTGGGCGAGAAGCTCCGAGACAAGAGTCTCGATTGCTGTAGATGGGATCTCGAATGTTGTTGTGGTGTTGGGGTGAACGAAGTCTAGAGGGCTTCGTGGATGAAGTTGCACTGAGTGACGTCAGGCTTCTTCACTTTTGGGGTGCACGTTGAACGTGGCAGATTGTTGTTGTTGACATGCAGAGGTTTGCTTCAACCTAGCGTGGTTTCGACTTTGACTGGGAAAGACAAAGAAAATTGGTGAGGCACATCAAACACAGGTATTTATTCCAGATTGTGGTGGAGAGACGATGTCCGCCTTGATGCCCGAAGAGGCTGGCCTTGGAAGTGGGATGACCCTCCTGGCAGGTCCGAGGGGCTTCACGACATCATCCAGGATTCCCCAGAACCAGCTCGAAGCTTCAGGCATCTGCGCGGGGTAAACGGCAGCTTCTCCAATCGAATGCTCAGGTGGGGCAGGGCTGGTGGGGCCAACAAGGCAGCCGCCTCTTGCCTTTCCAGTTGTTATCGCCCGATTTGGGTGTGCACCTTCCCTCTGCCGACGCCCGAGCAGCATCAGCTTGGGGATTCGCTGAGGGAAGGAACTCCCACCTCAATTCTCCCACCGACGAAAGCAGCCCAAGAAAATTTTCCAAATCCATCTGCTTCAGTTTCTTTCATTGCAACTGTCATTGCACCAAACCTGACTGCTCCCTTCTCTCATTCTCTCACTACTCCGCGCGATGCTGCAACCAGCATGGTTTGGGACGACTGATACAACACTCCTGCGTACCTCCATGTGTACAATAGACGGGCCGGATGCACGCAATCATGATCAGTGATCCATTCGGTCAGGCCTTTTGCTCCGCGGCCAAGCACACTCAAAGCAAGGAACCTCCCCGCAGAGGTCAGCAGCTGCACGGCTGACACCCCGCACATAATGCCGAAATCCATGATCAATCAGCCTCCAGCAAACACCCCTCAATCACCACGCCATCACCAATTGAGCAGATGAGCCCAGGGTTCATCATATCGATCAGGCCAGGGTGACTCGCAGCGACATGCAACTGATCATGAAGATGGCGGCTTTGTTGCGTTCCATTGCCCGTCCAGGCTGCGGTTCTGATGTACTTGGCAGGTAAGTAACGTGTAAGTGTGACGTCTGGAGACTTCTCGGGAGTGAGCCGATGGCGATCTAGAACAGCTTTCAGCACCCCACGTCGGCGCATTCGACCACCCCGTTTGGCTTTGGCCGGCTACAAAGAAGCGCGACAACGTATGTCGACAACCCCGCCAGGTCCCGTTCATCCATGCTAAGAACTCATATCCGCTATTTCTCACGAACCATGGCTTCTGTGAAGGCTCCATTACAGCGCTTCAAGGAAGCAACTCAAATCGTCTACGGGCCTCTCGACATCAACCTCCTTTCGGAGCAAGCAGCTCGCGTCTGGACGCCGCCAGAAACCCCCGGCGCCGGAGGTCATCGAGGCCGGTACCTCTGGACCGATGCATTCGGCGTCATCAACTTCATTACCCTCTCAAAGGAGACAAGTTCCCCTCTATATCTGACCCTAGCCAAGCGGCTCGTCGAGACCGTTCACAACATCCTAGGGAAAACCAGAGATGGCAGCGCTCGCCTTCCGCACGCCACCGAGGCAGAACCATTGAAGGGGGGGCTTCGGATTGGCAAGGTCGATGCCGATGGCAGTGATGGTGATGGGCAGTATCACCATTACCTCACGCTGTGGATGTTTGCGCTCAACCGTCTCGCCCTAGCGACTGGTGAAGCAAAATACAATCAGCTCGCCGTCCAGCTTGCCAAAGCAATACATCCTCACTTTGTCCTCCACACCAGCGGGAAGGCTAGGATGGTCTGGAAAGTCTCCACAGACATGCAGCACGTGCTTGTGCCGTCGGAGGGCCACCTGGATGCCGCAACCGGCTTTGTCGTCTACCGTCTGCTACAGGCCACTGCCGAGCACTTTGAAGCTGGTTCCACCGTCCTCGAGGCTGAGATTGCCGAATACCAACAATTGATGAACAGGCGGGGCAAGCTCCAGGTCAGCAGCGATCTGTTGGACCTCGGGATGGGCTTGTGGATGTGCCACTTCTTCCGAGACGAGGGGTGGGCAAGCAGCGTGGGGAACCAGAGCCTCGAGGTGGCGCGCAGCGTGCTTGACGAGAAAGGCGCGTTGATGGTCAAGGGTGCAGCTCACAGATTGGCGTTCCGCGAGTTTGGCGCCTGTATGGGACTTCGGTGTTATGGGGTTGACGAAGATCTCGAACAGCGTGTGGGCGCCGTGATTGATTTCTGGGAACGGTACTTTGACGAGTCAATGGATGAGGACCTGCGTCCCATCTCGCTCGTCATGTACGCTGCGGCAGTGATTCCGGGTGGTAAGTCATATACCTGATCTATTTGCCTTTAATGCATTGCGTCTGCATGCAAACTTCTGCAGTTTCTTGGATGAGAGCTAACGGGGCATTGCAGCTTTCCGCGACGGGTACCTCTGATGGGTGCAAAGATACGAGTTATGTGGGCGGCGGATTTCCGCAACAAGTGCCTGTGATGGGTGCAGATTAATGTGGGCGGCTCCGCCGCCCATGGGGTAAGGTTTCCATCGATGGATTGTGGGTGTTGACTCGCGCGGATGTGGTTCACACTTCGTCGTGATCCTCGTTATGAAGGAGTTTGACGCTGAAGGAAGACATCAAAGAGGGTTAGGGTTGCACAACTCACCTCAACACGGTCTGGTGGTCTAGCGGTATGATTCTCGCTTAGGGTTCACCCTGACATGAAATCAAGTCACGTGACTTGTTGCGAGAGGTCCCGGGTTCAATCCCCGGCCAGACCCACTTTTTTTCCTACGACGGAAGTCGTCACTTTCCTTTTTTGTATCTTTTTCAAATATGGAGGGAAGGAACGAGATGGTTCTCGTACATATCAGACAAGTATGCTGCATCCATCAGATCAGGGCTTACAGGGACAAGATAATTGATAGCGAATGAAGAGATTCCCCGCGTGCCGCGGCTGCCGACCTGGAGCTTCTAATATTGGAGAGATTTATCTTGTTAGATGTGGTTGAATCTTTTATCCCGGGACCGAGCGACAGCTCTTCAATAATGAAAGTGGTGAACAAACCCGGTCTCAATTCTCAGATCCTGTGGAAAACATGTGGCGTGTTTTGTTCCTTTGAAAGAATCTTGCTGTAGAGGAAGGAAAGGGGTATTCATCAGGCATATTAGCAGAGGCTGGTCTGATTTTCTAGTCCTGCGCCTTCGAGAAAGCCGGGTCTGCCCGTTGCGTATAGTAGTTCTAGGGAATTTTCGTAAAGCTGGGGCAAAGGAAATATAAGCTAATGTACGAGCTTTTGTGAGTGTTGGATCAAGGCGATATTATTTTCCCCAGAACAATTGCTCAAATTAAGCTGAATTTCGGGAGGTTTTCTTTTAAACAGGCAGATATTTGCTTCCGCTGCCTTAAAATACAATTGGATTATGGCTGGTCTTGGCCGTCTGAACGGCACTCGTAACGCAACCTCGTAGGAGTATATCTCAATCACGACCCACGGCTTTACCCTGCCCATCGCTGCTACTACCATTATCATCGTTGTTACTACCATCCCCCTCATCGCTGCCCTCATCCCGTGCAAACGACTCAGAAAGCTTCTGCAGCCCAACATGCAGTGCTTCCAACTCCTTCCGCGGCGATCCACCCAGCTTGGCAGCTGCCAATGCGAAGGCATTGCTATGGATCGAACATAAAATGCATTTCAAGGTGTCAACGTCCGCCGTCAAACTGAGGCCACTGACGCGGTCCTCGATGCTGGAGGCTGGGGCTCGCCGACCGTATGTCTCCCCTTGCCGGACGTTCTGGTTGAGCACTTCCAGGCAATGCCGGACACGCCGCTGGAGAGCTGTGACCATCGCCGCCGTGAATTTGCGCTGGTCTCGTCTCGCAGAGACGTACTCCCCGGAATTTCCCACAAGCATTCTGGCATGGCCAAGAGCATCCAACGCGGCCGGCTTTGCCATCTCCTTGTTTCTTGCATCGATGAGCGTCTTGCGCTCACCCCAGAGCCTCATGAACTCCGAGGCCACCAGCTTCAAATGTCCGACCTCGACAGACTGGCTAGTGGCCCTCAGGCCGTCAACCATATCCTCGACATCTTGCAAGTCGTGGGCACTGAAATGGTCCTTAAGAGCCTGGTTGTCGCCCTATGGATGTGATTAGCTTATGCTCTGTTTCCGGTATCCTGACGTTGACTCACCAGAAAATCGTCCCAAGCAAGTTGAACCTGCTCCAGAGACGGGCGAGGTTCCGGCGCGTTAACCAACAGGAAGAGTGTCGCGCCGCAGTTGCGGTGAATCGGTGCTCTGGCCTTGAGCATCATAATCGCAGCGCGCAACTGGTCCAAGTTGCCGGTGGTGAGGTCCGAGTCCTCGCCGGCGCCAAGATAGGACCCAGTAGCGATATCAATATCACTAACCAGTGGAATAAGCGGCATTGTACCGCTGCTATCACCGGTGGAGCCGTTAGGTACCGTAGCGGGCGCGGTTCGGTCGCTCGATACCGAGGCTTCCCCCAACCACGCGATTATAGCATTCCTCACCATTGCTCCCGACTCGTCCTTGCGGTCGCTGTTCTTCCTGTTTCCCGTGTCGTTTATATCTGCAAACTCGGCTGTAAGCTAGCTGGTTTATTTATTGTGAAGTGTAAGGCCCAGACAACCGATGAGATCGTGAAGAGGATGAGGAAAAAAGATGAGGAGTCGCTCAAGAATCCTCGACCAAATATTGAAAGTCTATATTAGCAGACACTGGTAAGATCGTGAAGAGCAAGTATAGGATAAAAATAGAAGGAACTAAAAAGAAAATAAAATAGAAAATAAGCAATAAAGAAAAAGAAAAAGAAAGAGGATGGAATAAGGGAAGAAAGGAGAGACAAACAAGAAAAATAAGCTAGGAGATGCAATGCTAGTAATATCTGGAACGGATTTTGGCGATCCCATCTTATGTCATCTTTTTGTATTACGGACGATGCCCTTCAAAAGTATTTCTCTATATCCAAAACATATACTGCCCTCTGAATAAAACAAACCAAAACGAGAATCCGGTCCACGTACCTATGCTCAGCATTCCAAATATAACCAAACACGACATATATCATAACTCATATCCCTCTCTCGAGTCCAGCCTCTTATTTCCCAGAGCGAAGCCTCTCCCATATCTGCGGTCGTTTCCTTGTCCCTTTCTTCAAATCATCCGCAGCTCCAATTCCGCCGCTGCTCCCAGAATCCTGCATTTTCGCTGCTGCCGTGGCACCAGCCCGCTGGAATAATGGATCGTTCTTCAACCCCTCCATCTTGGGATCAATCTCATCATAATCATCCGCATACCCCGTGTCAAGCTTATCCGCCGCTGGAGTTGGGGTCACGGTACCAAGCCCGCCGGCTTCTCGCATCTTGTTCAGTCCGCTTGCCAAGGGCTCCACCAGCCGTGCCTTTCTGTCAAAGATGGAGTCGTTGTCGGCATCATCATTCCACCTCACCTCGTTGAATCCCCACTTCCTTTCCTCGACAGGGGCCGGTGTGAACGGTGGCGGGGGGGCGCGGTATGACGATGCTCTTGACGGGGATTCCGACGATGATGCAGGCCTTAGGGCTTGAGCTTTGCGATAGAGCGCGGGAAATCGTGTCTCAAACTCAGCTTCGAGTTCCTTCTGGCGCTGCTCGACGGCACGGATTCGTTCTAGCTTTTTGGCGGGTATCAACTCTGAAACGGGGACACGGTCCTCGCTCTCGAAGGCGCTTAGCCAGGACTCATAGCGTTTGTCTCGGCGCGATGCTTCTTCCTGTTGCGGGGTTAGCTTGCACGAAGGTCTCAGGATAGCTTCGCAATATTTCTTACCTCTGCAGGACTAGACTGTTGTCGGAGCCCATCGAGATACTCTTTGGCGTCCTTGCTCATTTTTGATCCGCTTATGTATTTGTCAAACGAGGCCGAGAACTCGCGGTAGTGACCCTTCAGAATGAAACATTGTCCACGCCAGCCCTTTCTGGTAAACTTCTCATACAACGCATCGGCGACCGGACACTCCCAGTCAAACTCGATGACTCTGTCGTAGAAGACAACGCACTTGGACTGCATCCACTTGCTAAAGCTGCGGCGGCTGTGGTCATCAACTAGCGTATCCTCAATCATCTCGAGCGAGGTATATTGGACGAAGCTCAAAGGAGCGCGGAGATTGATGGCTTCATGAATGTGGGACTTTTCAAAGTCCGTGGATGACCGTAGGTCGATAATGAGGACGCTCTTTGAAGGATAGATCTCAAGGAGCGTATTCAAGTGTCCGGGGAGAATCATACGGGCTCCATCCTTGACCTTTGGGTCGTAATCGCCGAGTTTGAGGCCTTGCAAATGGTATCTCATCAACTCCTGCTGTCGCCGATGGTGAAGCCAGAGATGGACATCTGAGGTCTCGATCCCGAGGTTAGAGGCCAAGAGTTCTGTGACGGCAAGGTTCGGCTCGGGCTCCTTTTGGAAGTACTGCTCCAGACGATTCACCACATGTTTCGCCAGTCTGGGCCCTTCTGGTATATCGTCATCAGTAGCAAAGGTCATCGTTCGGGATCTCCGAGTTTGATTCATCAAGGTTGGTGGTATGGTTCCACTAAGTGTCGGGCCATCAAAGTCGTCGGCATCCTCAACAGTTGGAGGGGCAGTCTGCAGCCGCTCAAGCATGTTCCACGGAGTCACGGGGGTAAATGACCTGGGAGGAAGGCGAAGGCTGGTGGACGAGGCTTGAGGTAGAGATCTTGTCGAGCTGAAGGTTGGTTTGAATGTCTCAGGACGGGTGCGGTCATCACCAGTGCTTTCCGCGGCTCCATAAGTCGCAGGAAGCCACCTGGATGTTGGCTGTATCTGCCTCTGGGTATCGGTCATAAACCTATTCCAGTCCGGTGACGGTCGTGCCAGTTCCGGCTCGTTCTCGCCGGGGTCAGAGTCTTCGGTTGGAGTGAAGGTCTTTTCTGATTCTAGAGACGCAGTGTCTGAACTCGTTGTTTCTTGTGCCACCGGCTCACTCGCGGCAGCGACCTCGGGCTCTGGTGATATCGTCTTCGTAGACTGGGCGGCGAGAAGATTGTTTGACCGGATGAATGCCACGAAAGAACAGGCTGGGTCGTCTGGTAGAAGATCCCAAACCATCACAGGCAGGGAGAGGAGGAGCAGCGTCGAGTGGCTCTTGAACACACCCTGGACTTTCACATACTTGGCAATCGCTGGGAAACTTGCCAACCACTCCTCCCAAGCGCTGAGATCCAAGTGCTGATCGTCCTCGAGAGCCAACGAGATCATTACGTGAGGCTCGTTCTCGTTCGGTTCTGTCGTGACGGGGATCAGGCTATCCGACGCCGGACCGCGCCCTTGCAACTGTGGTCTTCCTTGAATCGACCTCGGCTCAGTGGTCGAATGGTACTGGTATGGGACTTCGTTGGGTGGTGATTGTGGCTGTCGGGTGTTGGGAACAAGTCGACCAAGCTCGATACTCGGTGCTTTGTAGTTGGATGTCATCATGAAATGCACGGGTGTGGACCTCGCCTCGAAGTGTTTTCCGTTGATCAAGATGGGCCGTGGGTGCTTCAGGCGAGCAAGGACCTCGGCGTGGAGCATCGCAGCCGAGAAGGTCTTTTGCCTCCATTCCTGAAGCACTTCAATCAGGGCGTTTGTGAAGGAATAGCGACCAGGGTCAGGGGCGATGGCATCCCAGCTCGATGCCGAGATGGTTTCGGTGATGCTCTGGCCGGTTGGGAAAGTTGCGCTTGCCGCTCCAGCACAGCAGTCAAGAAGAATC